TTCACATGTTGCCATTGCCATGGCCCTATACTCTGCCTCGGCGCTTGATCTTGCAACTACATTTTGTTTCTTACTTTTCCAGGATATAAGATTTCCTCCAACAAGTACACAGTACCCAGAGGTGGATCGTCTATCAATTGGTGACCCTGCCCAATCAGCATCAGAGTATCCAACTATCTGAGTATGTCCTTTATCTTCATACACTAAACCTTTTCCTGGAGCACATTTGATGTATCTTAGAATCCGGATAACAGCATCCATGTGTTCCTGACAAGGGGAATTTAAGAACTGGCTTACCACACTGACTGCAAAAGAAATGTCTGGACGAGTGACTGTGAGATAATTCAACTTTCCAACCAATCTCCTATACCTTCCCGAGTCTGATAGAGGCTTCCCCTGATTGGGTAGTAGTTTGACACTTGGATCCATAGGAGTGTCAACTGGTTTAGCGTTCAACAAACCTGTTTCTTCCAAAATATCCATAGCATATTTCCGCTGAGAAATCACCAAACCATCTTTAGATTGGGCTACCTCAATACCCAAGAAATACCGGAGTTTACCAAGATCCTTTGTTTGAAATTGATTTGAAAGATGTTGTTTCAACTGGAGTATTCCCGACTCATCACTACCAGTTATGACAATATCATCTACATACACAATAAGATAAATACACCCTTGTACTGAGTGACGATAAAAGACAGAATGATCAGCTTCACTACGGACCATACTAAATTGTTGTACTACAGTGCTGAATCTGCCAAACCAAGCTCTCGGAGATTGCTTAAGACCGTAAAGAGACCTGTGTAGCCTACAAACCATATTCGATGACTCCCCCTGAGCAACAAACCCAGGTGGTTGCTCCATATATACTTCCTCTTCAAGATCACCATGTAAAAATGCATTTTTGATGTCAAGTTGATGAAGAGGCCAGTGTCGAATGGCTGCAATGGCTAGAAGAAGTCTAACAGATGCCATCTTGGCTACAGGCGAGAGGGTATCACTATAATCCAACCCAAAAATCTGAGTGTATCCCTTGGCTACCAAGCGAGCTTTAAAACGATCAATCTTACCATCTGGACCAACCTTCACTGTATAAAGCCAACGACAACCTACTAAAGATTTTCCAGTGGGTAGAGGAACCAGTTCCCAGGTACCACTGCTTTGAAGAGCACACATTTCATCAATCATTGCTTGCCTCCACTCAGGGTGAGATAATGCTTCACCTGGAGATTTAGGAATAGAAACAGAAGACAAAGAGGACAAACAAGTATACTGCAAAGGGGAAAGACGATGATAGCATAAATCAATATAATGTGGAGAAGGATTTCGTGTTTGACGTATACCTTTGCGAAGGGCAATCGGAAGATCAGACTCAGGTTGCAGGATCGAATCCGGTGATGGCGATAGCGTCGGAGGAGAGTCTACAATGACCTCAGGGACATGTACGACCTCAGGGACATGTACGACCTCAGGGACAGGTATGACAGACGTTGGTTTACGACGCTGATATGTTTGAAGTGGACGAGAAGTGGGGGGGTCAACCGTAGGGGTTTCTCGTGGGACAGGTTCCCTAGAATGATGGGGAATAATGGGAAATGGGACGTCCGGAAGAGGTGTGGGAGTACTTTCCTGAAGGGGTTCCGGAGTGACTTGGGTGGACGCAAAATATGGCACAGACTCGAAGAAGGTAACATCGGCCGATATCAGGTATCGTTGCAGAGTGTGTGAGTAGCAACGATAACCCTTTTTGGATCGATGATAACCAAGAAAGACACACTTTAGTGATCGAGCTGATAGTTTATCAAGACCAGGGGAGAGATTATGCACAAAACATGTAGACCCGAAGACTCGAGGAGGAATTGGATGAAGAGGAGAGTTTGGAAACAAGATTGAATGAGGGATTTTATTATTAAGGACAGATGAGGGCATGCGATTTATGAGATAACACGCTGTGAGCACAGCATCCCCCCAAAATCTGAGAGGGATATTACCATGGAGAAGTAGAGTCCGAGTGGTTTCTACGAGATGCCGGTTTTTGCGTTCGGCTATCCCGTTTTGTTGAGGTGTATGAGGACAAGATGTTTGGTGTAGAATACCATTGGATGACATAAAAGTTTGAAATTGTTGGGATAAATATTCACGAGCATTGTCACTTCTTAAGGTACGAATGGACAAACCAAATTGGGTTCTTATTTCTCGATAAAATTGTTCAAAAATAGAAAATAATTCAGATCTGTTTTTCATTAAAAATAGCCACGTGCAACGTGAAAAATCATCAATAAATGTTACAAAATACCTAGACTCAAAAGTAGACACAGTACGCGATGGACCCCAAACATCGGAGTGAACTAAAGCAAAAGGAGACGCAGCCCGTTTATTGACTCGATCAGGAAAGTGACTACGAGTATGTTTCCCTAATTGACAAGACTCACACTGTAAAGTGGATAATTTAGATAAACTGGGCACCAACTTTTGTAGTTTGGGAAGACTTGGATGACCTAACTGCGCATGTATAATGAGTGGAGAATTTGTGGTGGAGCATGTGGTAGATGACGTAGAGAAGTAGTAAAGGCCTTGAGACTCACATCCGACGCCAATCGTCTGTCCCGAACTTCGATCCTGCAGAATAACATCACTGTTAGTAAAAGTGATAGAACAATTAAGGGAACGAGTTAAACGACTGACTGACAGTAGATTAAATGGGCAATTGGGTACATATAGGACAGAAGTAACAAAGAGAGATGGTAGAATTTGAACAGTACCGATCCCTTGGGATCGGGTTTGAGAACCATTTGCGGCAGTTATACTCGGTAAGAAACCAGAGGTAGAAAGGGAAGAGAAAAGATTTTTATTACTGGTAACATGATCAGACGCACCAGAGTCGAGGACCCAAGGACCAAGAGGAGATGATTGAGAGACGCAAACAGATGAATTACCAGTGTGTGCAAACGAAGTCGTGGAACCAGAGGTCTGGTTAGTCTGACACCACCTGAGAAAATCCTCGTAGCTTGGCGTAGGGTTCTGAAGAAAAGGTGAAGTCTGCATAGTGTACGACTTTTCGAGAGTACGACTTTCTGTGAGTCGAAAACGAAAGCCTAGGGCGGATCTGGAACCGGAGGAGGAAGGCGATTTTCCGAAGAAAATTTTTTTTTTTTTTTTTTTGTGAACAGTAGCGGCGGCGGTGAACAGTAGTCCTCCAAAAAAAAATTTTTTTTTTTTTTTTTTTCGTGGACTGTGCTTGGCAGAGGTCCAGGGTCAACCGGGTAAAACACGGCGAAGAATTGCCTCTTAGAAGGCTCTAGATACCATATTGAATTAGGAGAGACTAAGAGACATTTAGGTTAAACCGTGTGTTATGAAAGCACTACGGAGACTTTATTATATATAGAGAGATTACAACTAATTACACTATATAATCGATGTGGGACTATTCTACATACAAATATCAACATATACGAAATAATGTTGCATCTTTAGGGTTGACATACCAAGTAAAGTAGCTTCTTTTACTTTGTAAAACAGGATTATGACATACCAAGTAAAGTAGCTTCTTTTACTTTGTAAAACAGGATTATGACATACCAAGTAAAGTAGCTTCTTTTACTTTGTAAAACAGGATTATGACTTACCCATTGCTTGCTCTCTAGTTTCCGCTCTTCCTCCATCAATCAGAAGCCAGATGGGCATGCATCAAAGAGAGGGAATGAAATCGAGTCAAACTGGTATGCTTGTAGAATGTAAAATAATACTGAGTTATATTATTTCAGTTCCTTATAATCCTCCAATAGTTACCATTAGTAAACTAAAAAATTGATTAGAATCTTTAGATGGTACTTAATGATAACAATAATGTTTGACCTATAAAATAGGGATGTGTGCCATATTTTGAGAAAAAAAGGGGCTATGATTTCAGGTAGAGTCATGCATGATACTAATATCAGCTCAAGAGAAGGGGCTGCTAATTGCTTGCAGAGAATTTTGAGGAGAAAGGTTATGGTTTCAAGTGCAAGGCAGGCCATATCTGGCCTACTGACTGTTGGTGGGGTAAAAGCTACCAAGTATGTTGTTAACAAAATCAATAAAGCTTGGAAGTCACGGAAATGATATTTTTTCTGTAATTACTAACAATCATAGATGGTTTTCTTGCACCTGAGGGAGTTTATAGGAGAACTAGTTTTGTGACCGTTTTTCTGTTTTCATTTCTCCCTTTCTATCCTATTATCTTGGAGGTGATATTTTTTCCTTAAAACCCTTTTTCATAATGAAAGGGAATAGGTGTTTACTGTATTGACAGTAGTTAATAATCAAATAGGGTATTAAAATTAAACAAATTTGGTCCCGTCAATATTTTCTTTCTTTTTATAATCCTTGAATTCTCATTTTCTTTTCAAATATTTTTATGTACTGAATTTAGTATCTCATAAAAAACTGAGTTTTAACTTTAAAGTAAGAATTAAGAAAAATTATTGAGCTTCAAAATTATGTAATAGCTATTTTAGAGAAACTAAAAGTGCTGTTAATTTGATTTCACATCAATATCAAATCTCTCAGAGAAATGGAAACAGCAAGATTTGTTATTTCCTTTAAAGCAATGAATCAAAGTTGTTATTTGCCAAAACATGAAAAGGTAAAGTATGACTCAACTAACCCGCAAAGACAAAATAACTTACATAAAGCTAAACTAAAATAGCAAAACAAGATGTAAGAAGAAACAAGAGCAAGTAAATAGAGGACACAATTGCACATAGCATAGTTCAAAATCAAACTAGTATTAAATATCCCAAATTAAAAATCCTGACAATAATTTTGCATCAAAGTTGAAGAAAATATGTCATGAACCACACACAAAGTACCAATAAGAAAAACACTAAAAAACTATTGAATTTATAAATTTTAGCATCTCCTAGATGTTTCCTATGAAATACTATTATAATTATTTTCCCAAATTGCATCTTTCCATTCAGTACCAATTAATAGAGACATTTGGTTTCTTATATTGACTACAGTCTACTTGGATATGGAACTCCTGCAGCATATTGGGTGTCCAGAACATCAATCACCTTGTTGGCTATAGCACTTGCATAAACTGATGAACCTTCACTTACCTGCATAAGTGAAACAACTCATAGTTTAACATATAACCAAATCAATGTAATAATAACTCTATGCAGAATTTACTTGATTTTACAAACCTTGCTGTTGAACAAGAAACTGCAATATTCACCGACATGTCCACCTGCAACATGGCGAAGCTCCAGCTGAAGTTCATCCAGAACCTTGGAGACATACAGTAAACAATTAACTTTCTTCCTCTGAAACAGTTTGATTGTAACATCGTCGTCGACAATCCGGACATCAACCTCACTGTCTTTAGATTTCCTCTGCAGCCATGAAGTCCTTATGCTTCCATTTGGATCACCAAAAGGCTTTATGTTACAGCTTTCTGCAGCCGCATCTTCAGCTTTAAGTGTCTTACACATTTCCTTCCCATGTCTTTTCTTCTCCACCAATAGTTTCAGCTCATTCACTGTTCTAATCAGCTCTCTTATGTACTCAATAGCATCTCCAACCACTGATGCTCTATCAACCTGCATTACACCAAAACTAACCATTAACTAATCATCTCAATCATGGTTTTCAAATAGAGATTCAAAAAGAATTTCAATCATAGTCATCAAATAGAGCTTAAAAAAAGTTCATAGATTGTTGTTTTACCTTGGTGGGATTTGGGATGAGACCCCTCAAGATTTTGTACTTTCCATTCAATTGCTCTCTTCTTTGTTTCTCTGTTGCAAAATGTTTTGTAGCTTTTCCTCCTCTTCCTTTGCTAACATTAGCAGCAACCCTATTGAATTCCAGCACTCCCATGTCTCCATCTCCTTCCATCTCATCGCCTCCACCGAAAAGAGAACCGTTCCTCGAGCTAGTCGGCATACTATAGCCGCGAGGCAGAGATTGAAACAACTCTCTGAGGGCCGGTGGCTGTGGAGGAAGGTTCAAAGGAAATAGAGGATCATACAAAACTGATGGTCCACTTGTATTGTCCGATGAACCCATCGGAAGATCTCCAAGAAAACTCATTGAGTTATGAAAATTTGGCGGTTTTTGATTCGGGTTTGTGAGGAAAGATGATGCTGAGCATCTAGGCAAATGAAGAAGGTTTAAAAGATCAGGTGAAGTGTAATGAGGGTCGAGTATGTTCGACGGATTGTAGGTTTGGTTATGGTTTTGCGGCTCAACAATTTGTTGAAACTGTTGTTCATGTAGTTGGTGTTGTTGTTGGTGATTAGCATAATCCATACCTTGTAACTCATGAACATTAGGGTCCCAAGTTGAGTTGTTCTGATATACCTCTTGCCCCAAATGGTTATCAAGGTGCTGTGGATTATGATTATGATAAGAGAAATCCTCCTCAGAATGATTATGATTACCTTCAACCATTTGATTTGGGTGAGTTTGAGAAAAGTTATTATCTTTAAGAGAATTTTGAATACCTTCATCCATTGTGTTGGGATCAAAGCAACCAGTTTGTTCATGCATGTTTTGCTTGTCTCCTGAACATGAACTCATCTGTAATAGTTAACACAAATGAATAGAATCACTAAATTTTAAAAATAATCAAACAGAACATACAATGTGAATGCATATATAATAACCACAAAGGAAAATACCAACATAAAACACAGAATAAACAGTTCAACCCCATTAATCTATCAACATAAAAAAATACATTTTTTTAACTGAATAAATTATGTTTGAGATTTGATCATTTGAATCTTGTTTTCTTGAAGGTTGTTGTTTGTTCCAGTATCAAATTCAAAAAAATTTAAACTTTAAAGAAGAAAGCAATTACTTATGATTGTTAGAAAGAAAAAACAACGCCAAAAACAGTTTGAAATGGAGAATGTGAAAATGTGGAATTTGTTGTTCTCACCCTTTTCTCTCTTTGTTTGAGTGTGAATCCAAAAAGCTCAAAATGAGAGAGTTTGTGGTGAGATAAAGTGTGAAGGATTATGGTACTTAAAAAGGAAAATATTTATGAAACTGAAAGTAAGAATCATTGTTAGAAATAGGAATAAGAAAAAAAAAAGATTTTTTTTTCTTTTCAATTTGTAAGAATTCTTGGGACCACAAAATCATTCATTCACGTCTCAAATAACAAGTACTATAACAAACTTCTTGTCTTGTTTTATTTTTGTATCTCTTAATAGAAAGACCTACAAATTTTATAGGACTCAATCTTTTATATTAGTCTAATAATAAAGAAAAGGTGAAAACAGTGTAATAAAATAACAATAACCACTATAAATAAATTCACATATAATAAAATTTAAATTTAAAACAAAATGTTTATTTTAATAATATTAATATTTGTTTTTATCGAACTATACTTTAGGGAATTTTTTTAACAGATTTTAAAAACAAATGTTAAAGATTCCAATATCATGTAGTAAAATAGGGAAAAAAGAGAATAATACGATGGGTCACACAAAACGTGATTGTAGAAGAAATCGGGTTAGTTGAATGATAAAATGTAAAATTAACGACGCTTGTGGTCCCTCTCCATGCAGATTGGTAGGTTAAACTAACTTATAGGAATAACTTCTTCAAAAAATAAAACAAAAGCTATATCAATTACTCTACTTCGATATATAATAATGGGTAGATACAGATTTAGTCTCTATAAATATTATAACTTTTAATTTTAATTTTATAATTTAAAAAAAAAATAGTTATCGCAAACTTTTTCGTCTTTAAAATTGGTCCATCTCGTTAAATTCCAATAACAGAGATTTACGTGTGACGTCTTTAAGTTGCTCACGTGGATTTTTTTTATTTCTAGTTTGCCAGTGTGGATATATTGATATCGTCATCAGCTTATCTCTTAATACCAAACCATATTGACAAATTAAACAAAGATAACATTTCTCAGCTCGAGTGAAGCCCTAGAAAGCGATTCTTCGCCTGCGCTCATCAAGCTTCATGTGGTCCCAAGAACAAAGTTTCGTTCGTGTGGTCCCAAGAACAACTTTCACGTCAAGGAAGGGTGGTCCAACATCAGTTGTATTCAGTGATTCCATATATGTTGCTTTGTTGCTTACTTTGTAATGGTAGTGATAGATAACGAGACATTATTTTGTTTAGGACAACAATGTTGTAGCTGTATTTGTAGATAAGTCATATTTGTAACTCGTATCGTATTTGGTTGACGTAATTTGAATAATTTTAAACATAAGTGTATTAACTGTACAAGAAATGGCTACATTTAAGGTAGTTTTCTACACAAATGGTTGTTTTGTAAAAGACCCTGATGATAGTGAAGAGGAGAGGATGAATGAGTTTGATGAAAGGGTTGGTGCAGGTGTTGATGGTGAACCTATAATTGAAACTGTTGCAAATAGTGATGTCCCAAGTGAACCAGTCAAGACCATGTTTATCATAGAAGAGATGGGCAAGACACATGTCATTGAGGATGTCTACATGACTGATGAACTGGATAGTGATGATGATGATGACAATTGTGATGAAAGGTCACGTGTAATCAGGTTCAAAGCAAAATATGCTCTAAGTAAGGATTTTGTTTTCAAGGTTGGAATGAAGTTTTGTTCATTGAGACAATTTAAAGATGCCATACTAGAGCATAATGTTTTGAATGGTAGGGATGTGAGATTTGAAAAAAAATGATGCCAACAGATGTAGGGCGGTATGTAAGGATAAAAAGACAATGTTCTTAATGCACCAGACAATACTAAACCATAAGTACCGGTCAATGCTTAACTAAATGCACTCGTTAATACTGAGCCAAAATCACCAACTCTCAACAATGATTCATAATCTTCTTTATTAAAGTACTGTGGTATAGATGCTTACACATTGACTGCAATACTGAAGGATGATGATGTATTGGATGTTCAACCTTTGAGTATTGACAAATCACCTTTAAAGCCAAGTGTCAAGACTTTCTTTGGTAAAACTCCAAAAGTTTGCAAAAACAAACCTTTCAAAGTCCCATGATCATCTTCAACAAAGCTAACTTGCAGTTAACCAATGAGTATTAAAGTATCATTAACAAAGCTTTTACTCAATTTTTATTCATTTTTCTTAAGACTTATTGTTTTGCCCAGGTCAAGACTTCAAAACAAAAGACCAAACTCAATAAAATTGCTACTGTGAGTGGTGCAAAATGACAGGTGACTGGCTAAGGACACTCTAAACAAAGGAAGTATGCGGCCTTGAAAAAAAGGATGATGATCCTTTGGTTATCAATGAAGAGGAAGCCACAAGAGACGTGACTGGTGGTGGAAGGATTTAAAAAAATTGGGAAAACATTTGCACTGAATTAATATGATGTTGATTTGCTCCTCCTTGATGAAGATGACATAGTATCTTGCTGTGAAAGGTGTGCTGAACAATAACTCAAAGATGAATGATACGAAATGAAAAATAGGGATGAGGTATGAAGAAGAAGAAGAAGAAGAACACGATGTCAAACGAAGATGTATGAAGAAGAACGAGATTGAAAGGGAAGAAGAATGAAATGATCGAAATTAGGGTTCTAAGTGTGACAACAAAATAATTTATTTAACAATAATCCTACGTGTCACACAAAAAAACACTTTGGGCATGACATGCAAGTCTTCGTTAGTGGAATCTAACGGAAGCGACTAATTTTAGAGATGGATTTTTTTACGAGAATCATTGTTTAAAAAAAAAATTAAAAAATTAAAAATAAAAGTTACCATATTTATAATAACCCCTAACATATTTAACTCTAATAATAATTTGATATATTTTTTGGCATATTTATGTTTAGTAGCAAATAAATATTGGTTTATTGTGTTGCTCCGATTTTTTTATGTTTCTTGGTTGAAATGGGAATGAAAGTTTAATTTATGATAGGAATAGTGAATGTGTAAATAAAAATGAAAATAACTTTAATAATTGAATTCACTTGTCATTTCCTCTAAAAGTGATATTATTTTTATTTTTAATAAATACAATTGTTTTGTTAAAATTCAACGTGAACGATTATTTTTATTTACTAAAATAAAAATTATACTCAATTGTTCGTTTTTAAAATAATCATTTCAAATAGATTCGAATTCCAGATGAAAAATGCACCCATATTTACTTTTTGAAAAAAGAAGTAAAATAAAATAGTGTTATATTGTCAATCAATCACAATTATATATTTAATTAAATTTTATTTTTAGTTTTAATTTTTTTTAATGATATAATAGATTATTGATTTTTTATTGATTAAATGTGTAAAAAAAACTTTACAGTAATAGTGTATGAATATTATTCTCTTACTTTTTTTTTTTTTAAACAATTTGATCATTTAAATTGAGAAATATATGCACACTTACTCTTTTTTTTACCTTTTTTTTCTTTCTTTTCAATTTTATATTAAATCAATCAACAAAAAAACATATAGTTGCAACAAAAATATATATATATATATATATATATATATATATATATATATATATATATATATATATATATATATATATATATATATATATATATATATATATATATATATATATATATATATATATATATATATATATATATATATATATATATATATATATATATATATATATATATATATATATATATATATATATATATATATATATATATATATATATATATATATATATATATATATATATATATATATATATATATTAGCATCCTAAATACATAAAGCAGCATCCAAAAAACATAAAGTTAGATTCTAATTCAATAAAAAAAATTTAAAGGACCAAATTGTTACAAAAAAAACTTAAAGAATCAAACTGTTACCATAAAATAGCTTAAAGGACCACTGGAGTAATTATGCCTAAAATTTAAGTGTGAGTAATTAAGTCCCTTATCAATTATAAAAAGAGAAAACATTTGATATATAAGAGAAATACTTTATACAACAATCGTCTTAGAATTTTGGGTAAATATGTGGTGTTAATGTCTCTTATTGTTCGGGTCCTGTCGTAGCTCTCACATTCCCCAGTCTCCCAAACAATTGGTATTAGAGTTTGATTCAACTTGGTGAGAGAGCGAGAGTTAGATCCTGTGTTGAATACTTTATAGGATATGAAAACTCACCCTTATGAGGGAGTGGAATGTTGAATATATAAGAGATAATACTCATACACTAATTTTCCTAAAGTTTTGAGTGAATATATGGTGTTAAAGTATCTTATTTTCCTGGTCCCTTTGTAGCTCCTATATTCCTAGTTTTCCCAACAAGTGATATCAAAGTTTTGTATTGCTTGATAGAGGAGAAATAGTTGGATCGTGTGATGGGTCATATTATACAATGTGTGAGTGCTTAAGTCCCACATCGACAATAGTGAGAGAAAATATAGGATATTTAAGACAAAAAACATATTTTGGACCGACCATATCTCCCTTTATCCGACCACCATGAGATAGAACATTCTAGACCAAAACGTATCAATCGGTCACTCAATCGAACTTCTAGAATCTTCTCTTAACTACTAGATTATCATGTACCTCGCTGTTGGAGATTTACACCTCAGGAACATCCAACGGTCCTCCGAATTACATGCATGAAAAATAGTGAGACCGTTATTCCTCTCCCCTATATATAGGGAATGAATTCGTTTCATATAACAAGTTTCAAACACAATTTTAATGCTCTATACTCTTTGACATACTGACTTGAGCATCAGAGTACTAACCTTGCAGGTACACTCTTGTTCTGTCGCATCAGAAGCATTACTCTGTCGCAACTTCCACACCTTATTCCATTTCTAGTTCAAGAACAAGATAGTGGTGTTGCCTGTGAAAATGACTTTTGATTCCCTCATTCTTACGACTCTATACCTCCGCGTTCAACTTTCAAATGTAGAGTTCTCTTTGACATCTGGACGAAGATCTAGAAAATGAAGCATAAAATTTGGTTACAACCGATCAATTCAAATCTCACGCCTTTTGAAATATATCAATTTAATGTATTTTCAATCCTATGTGTCTCTAAATTCTTTGATATGTGGAAATGGTTAGATCTAGAGCTACTCGTTCCTCTACCGCATGCAAAGCCGCCCTGGCTTCTACCGTCATAACATTGTCAAATGTCAAATGGAGAAATGTCACTCCTTCTCCAGGCGAAGTGAATTTCAATGTCGACGTTCATCCATGGACAAATATAATCCTTTATCATCCAAGAACGAGGACTATCCAAGCTCCACCATTTAGGGTTCCAACTTCTCTCTCTATTGAGCGACCAAAGATATCGCATGGTTTTGGAATCCTCGAAGAAAACCTAGGCGCTCAAGGCACAAATGAGTTACTCAATGGTATCTATGAAATCATTTAACATCAGAACTCCAATGTGATAAAGGAAAGATTCCTTTATTTGAAAGAAAGCCTCTACCACACTCAAGCCTGGGAAAACTCGGCTCAGGAGGTCATATCTAAGAGATACGATTCCTCCTGGCCAGAATCGACCACATCAAAGGAAATGAAATTTGTGAAACCTAAAGACCGTTTGAAAGGAGGAAAATACAGTCCTCCTTCCCAAACCCGCGTGGAGATCGAGGCAGTCACACTCCGTCCCCAAATCATGGTGAACACCAGTCGAGCATGGTAAAACCTAAGCATCCTTTGTGAGCCCGAATCTTAGAAAGCAAGATTCCCAAGTCAATGCAAAAACCTCCCAAATTGAGAGAGAACAATGGAAATGGAGACCCCAACGAACACATTCAACTCGTCAATGACTGGATAGACTACTATAGTGTTATGGATGCTTCCATGTGCAAGTTACTAGCATTAACCTTGGTTGAACCAACTAGATTGTGGTTCAACAGTCTTCCTGATGGTTGTATTGAGTCATGTGCGGATTTTTACGATTGCCTTATCACCCACTTCACTGTCCAGAAAAGGAAACCAATTATTATAACAACCTTGAGTAGAACCATTCAAGGAGTGAAAGAGAGCCCACGATCATATATTGATCAATTTACTCAGGTTGTGGTAGAGGTAGAGGTAGAGGGGGCCGAAGAAGCCCTCAAGTGCTGGATCTTTGAAAATGGCATCCTCCATGACCATCCTTTTCACACTAACCTAGGAAATAAGAAGTTAAAAATGACTCAGGAGATGCTAAACCTAGCCCAACCATACATGACATTGGAAAAAATATGAATACTCGCTTCGACAACCCTACCTTGGCCACTGATGCAAGTTTCGATCGCATGGCAAGAAAGGAATCCCATTGAAAAAAAGGATACTGATAGGGGGCGTACAACTCATACAAAAAATATATGCCTTTGAATACTTTTCAGGATAAAATTTACCAAGAATGCATCAACACTGAGTGTCGAGATTCTACCTCCTTACCTTTTCCGAGAAACTACCAGCTAGACAGATAAGTCAAAGTACTGCCAATTTTATAGAGGACACATCTATAACTTGAATGATTGTATCCAACTTAAATACACAATTGAATCACTAATTAAAAAAGGATGGTTATTCGAATATGTCATGTGTGGAAAATGAGACCGAGAAGAAAGATTATTTGAATATGTCAAGGGCGGAAAATGATACTTCTAACAATCTAACTTACAAATAAAAGATTGTTTGACTACTACACTTGATATACAATGAGAGGTGTAAACAAAAATACAATAAAAAAAGACTCTTAAGACTTAAGAATTTCTATGATATACAAGTTTTAAGAAATTTTAAGTTAAACTAGTGTTTTTTATTTGACAGAGTAACAACTCTTTGATTGTTAATAGTACGTTGTTAGATTCTTCAAGACTTCAACTATTTATATAGAGAGCATGAAAAGAGTCATTGAAGAAGACTTCATACACAAGTGAGTCTTTGAGAACCTTTGATTAGAGACGTTGAAATGTTACTTAATATGGTTAATTCATTTCAAAATAAATTTGAAAATCCTTTGCTCCAAAAGGAATTATTTGTTTCACCCTTGTCGTATGTGTAGATTTTTGTTTGGTTCTGCACGTGATCAGAAG